AAAATGATTAGCTGTTCTCTCCAAAGATGCATCAAAATAATTTTTTGCCCCGGACTTTGTGGCTCAGTTAGTTGGGCATCGTCCCACACAACAAAAAGTTTGCCTGTTCCATTCGTGGTCAGGGCACAGGCCACATTATGGGCGCAATCCCTACTGGGGGGGCGTGCAGGAGGCAGCTGATTGATGTTCCCACTCTCACAAAAATGTTTCTCTTTTTATCTCCCCCTCCTTCCTCTCACTCTAAAAACCAATAAAAATATTTTTAAATAATTTATTCTATTATTACTGTTGGACACTGATATATTTCCTCAAAGATATAGACAAGAATTGTTTTATTTAACAAAGGATAAGCTTTCCCCCCTAAAATATGCATTTAAAATATTAGTTTATTCAGTCATAAGGCTCTTATGACAAAGGGGACCCGCAAAAGTATCCAGCCATCCCCTTTCATTTTACAAATGAGGAAGGTGAAGACCACAAAGTCTTTGAACTCCTGGTAAATCTCCCTTTCTATTTACCACAATGTCCATGAACAGAGTTCATAATGGAGAATGCCATGAATTAAGGCATTCCACATCATAAATAATTTGTAACTGCAGTGTTATTATTGTGCAAAAGAGATCATCGAATGCATCAGAATTCTCAAATAGAAAATGAGACATTGTTTGCACCCACACATGTATTTGGGTTCTAAAAATAATTTATTCTGTTATTACTATTGGACACTTTCTTTGATTACTGTGTAAATGAAAAATAGAAATCCTTATCATTTCAGGCCTAATTCTACACCTGCTAATTGGATATCTCTTTATGGATTTAGTAAGCCAATATTCATGTTACTAAGTAAACAGCTCCCTGATCGCATGCCTATGTCAAAGCTAGTTTTCCTTTTAATTGGTGGAATCAATTACCAAATCAGAGGTAGACAAGTTGACTTTGCAAAAGTTATCTAGGTTATAGTGAAAGAACTTTATACTTCTTTTGGTAGCAGCCCAACTAATGGAAAGAAAGCACAAATTTAGAATCATAAGGGGCTGAAATCCATCTTTTTTTTTCGTGACAGGAGTGCCCACATTATTCTGAACCATTCTGTTTTACATCTAATGCCAGGTTGACAAGTGTCCGTTTTTCATGCTTAATCATTCGTCACCCGTGTGTTCTCTCTGCCTGCAAGGCATGAGTCCTGCCTTCTATCACATCTTCCCACGATAAAAATATGCTTAGAACGTTACCCCTCCTCTGCTTGCAGCATAATATGGAGGAATACTGAAATGAGCAACTGCTATGCTGGACAGCCACAATATTTTCTAAGCTCATTATTCTACCTGAAAGCTAGAAAGGAAGTTTTTTTTATGACAGGAATTAAAAGGGGTTTTTTTTTTTCTGGAAGAAATATTGCTTTGTGCAGGGTTACATGTGAGATCATTTTAGAAATTAGATAATATTTATAGTGAGTTTGAAGTCAAACCATTAAAACAAAATAATTATATGCTATTCCTCAGTAGTTCAGTTAGACCTGTGTCTTACAGTACATACCTCTGTCATATGGTCATTACTGGTATTCTCAATTAAGAAGCAAGGATCCTCCTAAGATGTGCCCTCACAGGGCAGGAATGTAAAAACTTTGCCAAAAAACTACACTATATTTTAAGAAAAATTATAACAATCATCATTCAAATTAATGGTGCTGCTGACTTTTGTCACCATATAATTTTACAAAAGAACAAAATGTTTCAAAATGCTCATTTTCCCAGTTCCTGTCCACCCCTCAACACAGCTTAGAGTCTATTCTGGACTCTCCTAATTTTCCCAAACCAAAGACTTCTTCCCTTTGATTCTTTGCTATATTTGCCCTGTTGGCCTCCCCATCTTCTTAAAACTTTATTTTTCTCTTGATTCCTCTGACCCTTGTCTTTACTTCTTTCACCTGCTTCCTGGTTTATACCATGTCAGATTTACTGGCAGCTCTTGAATGCTGGTGTCCTCTATTTTGTTTTTGTTTTTATGCTTCAGTCTTTCCCCTGTGGTGTCATCTGTTTCCAGTACTTCAGCTATCTCCTAAACAACAAAGCACAAATCTTCTACCCCGATTTCTATTCCAAGCTCTAGATCCAGTGATAATCAAGTTGGGTGCATTGTTTTTTCCTCTCGGAAGACATAGCATTATCTGGAGCAATTTATTTTGCACGCTGAAAGAGGTGTTACTGGCTTCTAATGGATGGATTCTGGGGATGCTGCTAAGTACTATGCACAGAGAATTACCCAGTGCCAAACATCAACAGTGCTGAGGTTGAGAAATTGTGACCTGGATGTACTGGACTTTTCTACTTGCATATCCCACAGACACACAAAACTGAATATGGAACAAAATTAATTTGCTCTTTCCCTCTCTTTACTGCTCAATTCATTAGTAGTATTTAATAATGGTACCAACTTGTGCCGCGCAAGCACAGCCAAGGGTTCGGAGAGCCTGAGGGAGGGACAGTGAAGGATGAAGAAAAGACTGACAAAGAGAATAAGTTGGGTCTAGGTGGATCTTCTATGCCTGGCTGAGGCCACAGAACAGATCCAGACTGCAAGCAAATGGTTTGTTTTATAGTCAGAGGTAAACAAGGTAAGTCACAATGTTCTTATAAGTTTCACTTGTTTTGGCAGCACTTGTTGCACCTCCCACAGCCCATTAGCTACCCAGGAAGGATCTAGGGAGCAGTCATGAGATCAAACTTAATGGTGCTTAGCGGGCTGTGCCCTCCAAGCTGGGACTTGTTTGCAATTTTGCCAGCAGGTCAGTCCAAGAATTAACCCTATAACCGCTCCCTTCACCAACTTAACAATTGCAATAGCTAAAAATATAGTATTATATTTGCCTCCTGGCATTTTCAAACACCTAGGTCTTCTTTCGAATGTGTGATCTCTTTATTTCTAGAATTTGCTTTCTCCTCTTCATGTCCACTATGAGAGGGCCTGATCATCCCTTGTGGTCTACTCAGATGGTTCCCAAACTACTTTCTGTCTCAACCCATCTGTTACACTGAGGGCAATATGACATCTGATCTCCTACCTTTGCTTAGAAACCTTTTAGGGTTTGCCATTTCTTCTCATGGCAGAAAGGCTTTTCATAAATAGATCTCAGTTTACCTTTTTTGTCTTGATTCTGTATCTTTCACATCTTCATCCCAAGCACCTAGTAGAGTGTTTACCTTAAGTAGATAATTAACAAATATTAAAGGCATTTGTTTTGACTATTTAGATACATATGTGCCTCACTTTTTCTCATTCTCAGCCTTCATTTTGTGATATGCTAGTAAATTTTACCAGAAGGAAGTCAAAATATTATTTAAGAACTAACTCCAGTCATTATGTCCTCACTCTACCCCACATCAGATGGATGTTTTCAGGATTATATTTCAAAAAGTAGACATATTCTGTCAGGAACCTTTTATTCCATAAAATGTATTCATTACTGTTCTTACTTTTATTAGTAGTTAGTATTTTACCAAAATTGTTAACTTAAGGCAGATTGAAACAAAGAAGCTACAATATCAGAAGAGAAAGATTAGAGGTACTTTTAATGTTTCTGTTGGAAGGACAAGGCTTAATCAAAAGAGATGTTAAAGGGATGGGAATGGCAAAATAAGTATCAAATCAGAGGTCACCACGTTCTAAGGCAGCACCATTGTTTTGCTGTGAGGCTTTGAGTAAGTTGCTAAACATGTTCCTTATGTGTAAATTAAGGACACGATTTAGATAACTTTCCATTTTAATAACTGTGGATTTTCAATGCTCACTTGTACAACATACTCAATTTTTTTTGATAATCCAATGAGAAGAGTCTTTCTGACAGAAATTTTGTCACTATTTGGAAAGTCTCTTGTCTTAACTCAGACCCACACACATTCATAATTTTCTCACAATCCCTAAGCTCTTGAAGGTTTTCTTTTGCCAAGAAATTCAACAAAATGACAAATATATAACAATAGATTTTTTTTCTAAGTGCATTATCCAAGTGGTGCTTTCTTATAGCTCTGTGAAAGACAGGGGTATATACTTCTAGAGTTTTGGGGGTTTTACTTACTATTCAACAGGCTGAAATAGTGCTTATAGGTTCTTAAGTTTTTTATCAGGGATATGAGTTAAAAGGACAGATACATTAATTTTTATTAACATGAAGAGGATAAAATTTCAATAACTTTTTATTGAAAGAAGCTGAATGATACAAGTATGAAATAAAAATTTCTGGTGTGCTGCTTCAAAGCTCTGGCTGAATCATTTATTTTTTTTTAACATTGGTATTTAAAATCATGTGCTAACTTCTAATATTTTTGTGCCCATCTATAACAATTTTTAAAAGTCTCCATATTGCTATGGCAACTACAACTATATAAGTACATAACTAGGTACTTGGTATATTTGGATAGAAAAGACTATTTAATTTTCTAATTGAAGAATGGCCACATTATTCTATAGTGAGAGATGCCAGACCCATTTGAACAGTTATTCTTTCCCCTGCCTCATGTTTGAGCTACCTCAAGAGGTTATAATCATGATTTTAGGATTCCAGCATTCTGATTTTAAACTTTCTTTTGAGCTCTTGAGCAAAATATATCAGAGTTATTACAACTCTAATATTATTTATTGTGAAGAGAGAGGAAAATATTTATGTACATGAAAACTTTGTATGTATAAAAATCATGACAATGGGGTTCTTTTGATTAATAATTTGACCATCATCATCATAATGAAATGCAAGGAAAGAATATCACTAATTGTTAATATGATCTTCAAAGCATTCCAGTGAAGATTAAAGTTGGAATAACCTCTGAGTTTCATAATTTCCATCACACAGAATATAGTCACCCAGGTGGCAGTACAGTATTAACATGTGGGGTTTTTTTTTAAAGGCACATGAAATAAAAAAATGGTAAAAGTTTATTGCACTTTCTATAGATGGATGCATGCAGATTAGTTTTGTCATGTATTTCATTGCCTCTGCTTTCCAGATCTACGCAAGACATTTGAGCAGGAGCCCCTGGGGAAGGAAGTATCCTTGGAACAGGAAGTTTTGCTCCAGTGTCGACCACCTGAAGGGATACCAGTGGCAGAGGTGAGTAACAAAAATTCTTTGCATTTAGCAACTGGCACTAAGTTATTCTAACAGAGGCCTAATCTGTGGCTAATGGCACAGTGAATTAGGGTATGGAATGATGAATGGTTGGTAATGGAGTCCTAACTGCCTGCTGCTGGCAAAATAGATTGATTGGGAACTGATTAATGACTTGGGAGTCAATTAGAATGCCCCACTGGACAAAGCCAGTCAGCGTGGTTTGATTTTTGTCATTCTCTTTCAAGAACTCAGAAATCCTGCTATATTTTATCTGGAGCTTATCATAGAGAGAAATGCTGTATCTTAAAAATGTACCATCAAATTTAGTACTATTCTTGATAAATATGCAAAACATATGTGTGTATATGTGTGTATGTTTGTGTGTCAGTGAGCCTGTGCACTCCACATATGTATTTCCTATTCCATGATCTAATCATGAACATATATACCTAAGAGCCGTATTCATACACCAGGAATAAAAACATGCTTGAAGAATGACAAGTGTCAATTAATTTCAACCTATAAGCGTTCCATCAAGATCTTCATGATCATTTTCTGTTTTTGCTAAAACAATGCCTATAGATTGCTAATGCAGTATTATAAAACAGATTTGTATCATGACTTTTTATTAGCACCATGCAATCTAGTGTTCTTGAAAATGCCTGACTAGGGGGGACAGGCCTGCCAGAGAGCACCATACTCTTCCTGAGATCCTCCCATCATCCCAGAGCATACTACTGCGGAAAATCATCTAACACCATGTCTTTTGTTTGTTAACAAATAATTTTAACAAACTGAAAAAGATCACCCTTTTATGATTACTGGGAAACATCCTAATACGCCTGAAGACACTGTTACCCTCGCCGACCCAGTATCCTAGAAGCCCAGAAAAACTTTAATTTGACAAATGACATAACTGTCAATTGGTTGGTGGATCTTGTTAGCCTCCAAACTACCTTGAGTCCTTTGAGATTTTTACTTGTTATCGCATATACGTAAAGAGGCATTTCTGAAATTGTTGCAATTTGGACCTAACTATGGGTCAGCTGATATTTTGTAAAAATAAGCCCTGAATGAATCCTGTCGAAGAAATTGCAGAATACTACTTCTTTGACTTGCAACTTATCCAAAAAACTATTTAATAGCTAACAGTGTACTTACTATTAGGTTTCCATTTTATTTTATTTTACTTTTCTGAAGGTTCAAGCAAAGGTGGGGGCCAGCTCAGTTAACTGGTCCCATGGGCAACAAATTTAGACATCTGATTGCTCTTCACTATTTAATAATAATGAATTAGTTAGAAATTTAGGCAGTGCCTTTACAAATGACTCAATTTTTCTGTCACAACCATTCATATCTTCATGTGTCAATGAAAAGACAGAAAGTGACACTCTTAATAAAAATTTCCTTTTTTACTTTGAAACAAGAGAGCTATTTTTGCCTTGTCACTGGCATTCCGTGGCATTTTCTAGCATATTATCAGAGATTTTGCATAGTTATAGCTGCTTTTCCCAACCATACCAAATGATCTTCCAACCCTGACATGCAAAATGATTTACTGTGATTAGAAAAGAGGCAACTCTAGTGAATATTTCATTTCACATATTACAATAGTGCATCTGTCTCCTAATTGTATTTCTAAAATTCTACTGCAAACTCATCCACTAAACTACCTTAAAGACCAAAACACATCCTGGGGATTGCCAGGGAACATGGATATCCATAACCTCATTTTGATTTGATGTTTCTTAAAGATATCTGATTGCTGCAAAGATGTTCAGTGAAAGAGCTTAGTAACTTTATGTTTTAGTGGTTCACTTTGTCAAGGAGTAAAATATTTGTGGCTGCAAATGAAATAGATATAAATTTTACTTATATCACCGCTGGGGAAGAAACCAATTAACACTTGGCAAGCTCAAAAATAACTATTGGCATTCAAAGAACTATATGTAATGCGTTTTCCTTTTTTTTTTTTTTTTTTTTTTTTTTAAGTCAGAGGAGCGATCAAAGATACATACTGGAGAACAGGCTAATAAACTCCTATGTTAGATTCTTTTCAAACCCTTAGAATCACCAAGATCTGAAAGCTAATGAGTAACTTAACATGACACATTACAAGGATGATTTACTCAAGAGTGGCAAATAAAAAAAAATTTTTTTAAAGGGATGAAATGTAACTATGTGAGCTTAAAGATCATAAGATTATTTTAACTTAATGATAAATGCAATTATTATTTAATCTCTAATTTTTTTGAGGAATCTAAATACATAAAAGTAGCATAGGGTGGAATATTAATCTTAAAGAAAAACCAGCAGGTAAAACTCTTATGTTTTACCATGAATAAAATCTGTCCTTAAGCTATCAGGCCACAGGGCAAGATTTTTTATTCCTTTTGTGCCAAAGGCAAATGATGCTGTAGAATTGGAATAGTAAATGCTCAATGGAGTCAATTGATATTTGGTTTATGTTTCACTCCATTGGAGAAGTAGTCAGGTACATTCTTTGCAGAATATCAGAAAGCAATGATTTTCTTTCCTCCATGCAAGTTGGTAAGTTTCTAAAGAACTCTACTAACCTTAAGTTAAATGGTACCTATTTGGTGCAAATAATGCCAGTGGCATTTCTGAGGTAATAAATAACATTTCACTTCCTCCCCTCTTTTGGCTTTAGTCTTAACTTCAGAGTATTAAACTAACTTCCTTACAAAACTCTAGGTTTAAGCCCACCCATCACCATTCCAAACTCTGACTTTGGTATTTCAGTCCTCCTTACCTAAGTTTCCTTAGTTACACAATGGAGATCATGATAGCACCTATCCAGGATATAGTTGTAAAGTTTAAATGAGATAATATATGCAAACATGTAGAAAGCATTCAAGAAATATCAGCCATGATTAGTGCTAGTATTCTGTTATTACCTATTGATTCACAGAACCCTGACTTCAACCTCAAGAACTCAAAACAGTCACTGAGCACATTGTACCTCTGCCGAGAGCTGCGGGTGTAAGGGGCGAAGCCTCTGTCCTATGAAGGGTCACCAAGGTGCCCTCCAGCAGTTGCTCTGGTTAGAATCTATAAATGCTACAGATGAAGGTATTGTGAGCTGTAAAGCAAGGAAACACCCTTATTAATGTAAATATATAATGTATCGATGACCAATACCTACAACATGTCATGGTGTACTGCTGTCCTTACTCTGATTTTTAAAAAAATATATTTTATTGATTTTGTACAGAGATGAAGGGAGAGAGATAGAGAGCTAGAAACATCGATGAGAGAGAGTCATTGATCAGCTGTCTCTTGCACACCCCCTACTGGGGATGTGCCGGCAACCAAGGTACATGCCCTTGACCGGAATCGAACCCGGGTCCCTTCAGTCCCCAAGCCGATGCTCTATCCATTGAGCCAAACCGGTTTCGTCTTTACTCTGATTTTTAAAGTTGATGTTCTCCATTTAGTCATCATGATCCCAAGACACTGGCCCAGCCCTCTTATTTCCTGAGTATGAGGAAATCTGGGCTGGGGGGTACCGCTGGTAGTTCTTTTCATAAAGAGGGAAAGAGATGACAAGGAAAGCCTCAGGGGAGGAAAGAGGCCCCACCAGGGTCCTTCTACTCCATGTCTCCAGGTTATGACAGTTTTGACTAAGACTGGTCTCAACAGTCATTGCTGAAGGAAACCGATGTAGTGGGTACCGTGGTTCAGGGCTCCAGACCTGTTCATTTCCTCCTCTGGTCTCCTTACTAAGCCCTGTCTTTATATCTATTGTATGTATTTGAAATATTTAACAGCCCAGCCAGTGTGGCTCAGTGGTTGAGCCTTGACCCATGAATCAGGAGGTCACCAGTTCAATTCCTGGTCAGGGCCCATGCCCAGGTGGTAGGCTCCATCACTAGTAGGGGGCATGCAGGAGGCAGCCCATGGAAGTCTCTCTCTCATCCATGTTTGTATCTCTCTATCCTTCTCCCTTCTTCTCTCTCTAAAATCCATTAAAAAAACATATTTAAATTAAATTAAATATTTAACAAGCACACTGCTTCCTTAACATGGAACAGGGTCCTAGGGCCTTGTGCTAGAACCGCTATTAACACTTCAGCTGCTTAGTCCCAGGGAGTCAACTGGCACATGGGGGAGGGGAGGAGCCTGATGGGGGGCACCCCATTATTTAGCAGCAGATACAGAACGATGGTACTCAACACTTGGTGTGGACCCACCAGTGTGACTGGCTGAATGTCAGCCTCTCTGTACCATGACTGTAAATAGCTCTGACTGTGACTAGTGTTCAAATGTGCCTGTTTACTCCTTGGCTGCCTAATTAGATGGCAATAAAATAGGAGCAAAGGGGGTTTTTATGTTTATCTCTAATACCAGCTGATGGTAGGTTCTTCAGTAGATTCTCTTAAGTATGTTTAACTAAGAAATAAAGAGTCCACAATGGATGTGGCATAGAAGCTGCAACTCAGGGAATGGAACATTCCAGAAAAAAAAGGGTATTTGTCCCCTCTGGCGATGCAACCTACAGAGAGAGCTTAGTGTGCAGCGAAGGTTCCAACCCAGCAGGACGGGAACTAAAAGGCCATTGAGAGTCACTTTCGTTCAAGGATATAGGGCAGTTTAACAGCAAAGTTAAAAGTCTAGACTGAGTGAAAGAAAGAAGAACGATGACTGGAAATACTCTAAAGTGGTATTGCTCTGTATTTTTAATAACTCTTTTGCTAGGATCTCTGCAAAAATGTTCTGGGGAGGCATGTACCCTGCTTTCAACAGAAATCTCCTCATCTCCCTGAAGAAGCCAGGAAATGAATGCTCCTATGCACAGTGTGGGGCAGCTTCACCAGCAGAACCCCGGCATTCTATGAAATGAACCCCTCTTTGCTCCTTGTAGTTTATGCCTAGAAAATGTTGCTATCACTTGGTGAGCCAGAAATGCACCCAGAGATGCTTTATGTACTTGGGTTGTCTCTTTTGGAGGGTATCCGGATCAGGACAGCAATGAATAC